CTTACAGTGTTGTGTAATGCTCGTTTTGTACAACTGTAGAAAAGCTTGTCCAGAAAACACAATAAACTAATCGTACCGCATATTTAGCAATCCCATGCCAACAGCTGCTAGGTGCTGCCACCTGCTGGGCTCTAACCCCCGGCAGCAAAAACGAAAGTGACACGCATTTGCATTCATTTGTCTCTTCACACTTCGCATCTGTCAGTCAGTCAGACGAATGAAGGAAAAAAGCGAAAAAACAACTTTTCTAATTGTCGCATAAGTGCACTTGAGTCCTCTCTCTGTCTCTGTCTCTGTCGCTCTCTCTCTCTGTCACTTATTCATGCTTGCTTATTATGCATGCAACAACAATGACAGGCGACAAGGGCAGGAACAATTTTATATTTTTGCCCTTTCAAGTGGCGCCCAGGTAGCGTCTGGTGGCGCCTGCATTTCGCCAAGGGCCACGGGCCCACGGGCCCAGGGGCCCCAGGGTTACGGAGTTGGGCACGTCTGCAATTTGGACACACAACTTTGCCAGTTACGTGTTTCATTTGCTGCTGCTGCTGCTGCTGCTGCTGCTGTTGAAGCGTCTCAGCTCCACAAGTTCGCCCTCTCACCCTCCCTCTCTCTCCATCTCTCTCTAACAACTTTAATGAAGAACATTGTGAAGAGCACCGTCGTGGCGGTCGTCGTCGACGTCGACGTCGACGCCAACGTCGCGTCTGGCCTTGCTTTGCATATCCATATCGCTTAAAGAACTTTTCTCAACTTTCGCTCAACTTGTGTTTGCACTTCAGCAATTTGCATTTTAATGCCGAATGGACTCTGATCGAAAATTGATCGCCTCACCGAGGACTGTAACTGCCAAGTTCCCTTAAAAAAAGAATGTATGTATGCAGCCAGCGACTGCATTCGTTCAAATGAACAGTTAAATGGGGTAGCTGATAGCTCATTAGAGTCGCCGAGCGTACACCACGGCGTATGCTTACCCAGCATGCAATCCCCATGCTCAATTTGTGTGCAGAGCTGAGACCTAGAGATGGTCGTCTGTGGCCGTGACACGAAATGACACTAATTGCCTCTAAAATTTTCCCTTGAATTTGCAGTGATTAGACAAATCAAAATGTTGTGATAGCTCAAAGTTAAATCACCAACTCGAATACGAATCAAATACTACCTGAAGAGCATACACACAGCTTACGTTTTGAGATTATCATCGATAGTTCTCATATAGTTGGCGATAGGTCCGACTGCCGATAGTGCTCCACGATTCAGATAACACTTACAGAGCTTTAACACCGTAATTTTTTTGAGACTATCATCGATTGAGAAAACATAATTATCGATAGTGCCGACTGCCGATAGTTCTCCAACTCTAATACGTCTCATATAAGTCTGGCAATTGCTGGTAATTGCATTCGCTGCAGTTGGAAATTTCGTGTAAGCGAAATGAACTTGAATTTGGCTTTGCTTCGCTTGGCTCTACAATTGATGAGCGGTTGGTAAAGCGTGCTCCTTGCTATCTCTCTCTCTCTCTCTCTCTCGCTCGCCTGCCGTCTCCCTCTATTTCTGAGTGTGCACCACAGCGACACTCGTAAGTAATTCAAGTGAAACCACATTAAGCTTACTTTGCTAATTGCGAGCGACACGTCGCCAACGTCGCGGCGAGCGCATGTGAAAATTTAACACCACAGCCCCAGCCCGAACCCCAATTCTCTACACCCATACACACACACACACACACATACACACACTGTCGCTTATCTACATAACGTGGCGGTTGTGCGTGTCTCTCTTCCAGTGTGTGTGTGTGTGTGTGTGGTTGGGGCAGCTCCTGTGGGGCGAACGCCAGAATTGGAGCCAGCCTGTGAGCAGGCCAATCATTTTAATTAATTTGTCAGAGTGTTGGTAGCACACAAAAATTTATTATACTCCAACGACTCCTCATCGCCGGTTGTCCGGGCCAACTGCAGCAGAATGAAGCAGCGAATATATACATATGTATGTATGTAGATACATAGATATACATACATATAGATATACATATATATATATTTATATGTTTGCGTGTGTGTGTGTGAAGAATATCAGTGTGAACGCGCCGTGGGAACAAAACTTTTGATTACGAAAACCAAGAAAATCAATGAATTCACCAGGCACACATACACACACATAAATACTCACACACACATACACTCCCTCTCCCATACACACAGAGATACTAACACTCACACACACTTTTTAGTAGAGTTGGCAGCTAATGCGCTAAACCCTCTGCCATCACACACTTACTCTCCCCCTTCCCCCTCCCTCTCTTCCACTCCTCCTCACCTATGCTTAACACCTTTTGGGCGTTGTCCAATGTGATAAAATGTCGCGATTGCCACGCAAATGACCTCAACACCGTGCGGCATAGCCAGCCGCGTCGCGCCACCAGCAAACGTGCATCATCATTTATCCGGCAACTTTTTCGATATATTGTGCGATATATGTGGACTTGGCGATAGATCATAGCAGTAGCAGCAGCAGTAGCACTTCATCTTGTCCTACCCCTACCCTTTCTTATTATTTCAATTGATATACTATAACTATCAGACAAGCCTCAGAGTCAATGTGGAAACCAACTGTGTGACTGCGCGCAGATCAGTTTTAATTTACAAAAAAAAAAAAAATAATAATAATAATAAATAAATAAATAAATAAAAATAAATAAATAAATAAAAATAAATAAATAAAAAAAAATAAAAAAAAATAAAAAATAATAATAAATCGTTATATTTTCCATTTTCTCTTCAATACACACAAAAAAGTTTAGAATGAAAGATATATAAATAAAATAAATTTAGCTCTCTCTGAAAATGACATAATGCCTATAAGTTTATTTATAATATGTATACATGCATATATATTTCCTTTATTTTATATTTTTGTATTTTTATTTTCTCAAGGAAGTACATACATAAATACATGTGTAGGAGGAGTAAATTAAGCAATGAAACTTAATTTTCTTCAGTTCTTATTGTTTCTCCAATTTTCCCTTCTGTCTTCAAGCAACTATCGACAGCCTGAGCCCGCGATTGGTATGTATCTATCCATGGTTAACCTTAGTGCTGGTTTTTCAAATCTTATGCATATATATGTATATACATACATGACATTTATTTATTTCATTTATTATAGATTAGTAATAATATAAAATTTCGACCAACTCATATATGGTGGGGCCTTCTACTTGATACATATTGAATGTGCTAATTATTAGGATTATCTATAAACTACCTATATACTACTGCTGGCATTTGATCAATGATTACCTGAGACAATTATTATAAAATATAATCTCAGCAGGGCATCCTTCGCCCACTCTCTCTCTCTCTGTCTCCCTCTCTCTCTCTCTCTCTCTCTCTCTCTCTCTCTCTCTCTC